ATATATATATATATATATATACAAATACATACACTTGATTACTTCTGATTTTTGTATTTATTTCAGAACTTTCAAGGGCATGTAGACTTTTTATGAGATAAGTGATAAATGTATTGCTTAATAAGAACCAAGTCTTGATTTTTAATCCACTAATTTTCATTAGAACAATTTATTTTACAGAAACACAAAACAGATTCATTATACTTTTTCTCTTTTTTTTCTTTTTTTTCATAATTTGTCTAAAAAGAAGTGTCAACTATCAAGAAAGATAATACAAAAATTAGCACTTAATATTGACTTGGAAGTTAAGGCATTCGTTGGACTACCATGACTATATTTTGGGAATGCCTTAGCATAGTCTAAGAGTTCTCTCTACTAACTTCAGTCCCATTCAAAAAATTATTAATTGATAGAATAAAAGTTAAAAAATGCTGAAATAAACTACTGTTCCAAATTTATAATTAAAGAAATGTCTTGATTTAACGATTAAGAAACTCGTATTTGTGCATTAAATGTTATAGATGTTACTTATAAGAATTAATTGCAAGGAGTGATAAACGTCAGTATTGAATCAAGTTAATTATCTCTGCAGTTTTTTAAATGTGTGATTAAAATAAATGAACTATAAGCACTAAAAAGGCTTGTTTCAAAATTTAGATAATTATGCTATATGTATCAAACTAGGATAATGATAACTTATTTCATCATGCTCATTAGAAAATATGATTAGCACCCAAGCCATAAGGTGAGAGGTCCATTTAATATATCTGCCACAACTGTGTCTTTTGAATTTTATTAATTTACCTAAACAATGTATTTCATTCTGCATACAGTAAATACATTTCACTGAGGTTATCTTTTTATAGTAGTGAACCACTTTTAGTTCACATGTGAATTATCCTGAAGAATTACATTATATTATTATTAATGTAAAAATTAGTATATGTAGGTTGTACTGTTGATCTTAATACCTCTTAATAAATATTGTAAAATACTGTGAATTATTGTATGACTCACTTTTTTCTAGTGTAAACTGCTGAATGCATTGAATTTGTGCATTAGATGAACATTTTGATGGTTAACAAGTCCAAAAATTTTGTTATATCAAGTGTTGGAAGAAGTTACTTACATCCCCTGATATCAACATTATGGGAAGAATTACCCTTCATAAATGAATCTTATCAGGCATAATGAGAATAATTATACAAAGTAGAAATATCTTTGAACCTCAAGATTCAAAAAGTAAAAATGAAATACATTTCTTAATATTTTCAGTTTTCAGGGGTAGTATTAAAAAAGCCACACAAAATTTGTCAGTTCTGAACAATACAAAATCAGCTAAAGCTATCATTAACAGTAGATTAAAAAGCTCCAAAATCCAATTACTACTTGAAAAAAAGAAAATTAGATCTTTTAATTATAACCACATAATCATTTGTTTGAAACATTGCATTATCCAGAAAAGATGTGTAGATTTCAAGATGAATCACAAAATTGTTGTTGGCATTGGTCAGATACATTTGTATCATGCAGTTGAAGTGCACAAAAATGTGCAATACTGCTTAAATATATACTCTTGAAGAGTACTTCTAATTAAAATACATACTCAGACAGGAGGATGTTTCTTCAAAATTTGATTGTTAGCATGGCTTTTGTGTCCCTTTGGGTTATTCAAATGATTTAGTTTTGTGGCTGAAATAAATGGTAAATTTGTATTTAGTGGCAGATTTGCCTCTGGGAATTATAATGCCTTATAGAAAAATATTAATTTGTAAATAAATGCATATTATTTACTGTGCATGCATTAAGTAACAGTAGAGAAAATGAGTGCTAAATTTTTGTATGGTAATATCTAAAAGTAAGTGGTTCAGTCAGTAAATTTCAGAGTTATGTAAATAATCCTGAAGTGCTTTTTTTTTTTTTTTACTGAAGGACAAAGAACATTGGAACTGTTTTCAGAATTACATTACTTTTAGCACATAAAACTTGCATGAACAAATCAATGATATTTTGGCTCATTCCTTTTAACACTGTAGATACAGATGTGATACACTGTGATGTTAGATTAGAAAATATAAAGAGTGTCCAATGGCTTAAATATTTTCTGTACATAATGTGGCTGAGCCAGAAAGTTTGTAATCTTGATAGTAGCTCAAATACCTCTTATGAAGGCAGATGTAAGGTATGGGATAGTAATGTACAGTTATTATAGTATTCTCAAACTCTTAACACCACATTAATGTATATCAGTTGAGATATCATAAGGGATATAAAAGTAGTTTTTGCCAATTTCAGTTTTTTATATAATTGTGAGTTGTTATGCAAAAGGTATATATTCTCTCATTCATAAAAACTGTATGCCTTTGATATGAAAGTTTTATGAAGTGATAATTTTTGACTAATTTTGTTTATTCTTGTCACAGCCACACATTGGAAGACTTGGAAGTCTGGGATCAAACAGAAGGAAGTACTGACTGCAGTAACGATTTAATATTGGCACATCTATTACAGATGGAGTACGACCGTGAACATGATGTATGCCTTGTTAGACAAGAACAAAAGTTTAATGGAAGCAGCAAAGGTTAGTTGAAGAATGACAATTTATGTTTTCTCACACACACACACATTTCCTTTGAACACTGTTGTTTAGAAAATAAAATATATGTAAAGTATTCTGGAGGTAAGATTTGTATGAGAAATATTCATCCAAACATTGAAAAATGGTTTAGAGAAGTAAAGTTTAATGAAAAAGTAATTTACTGTTAAACATATTTTTGTTTCATAATTATTGAGAAATCTCAATCTTTCTGTTGCAAACTGAATATTTGTTGCTAATATATAATTGAATGGTTGTTTATATCTAGCTTCCAAATTTACCTGCACTAGCTTTTGTTTTTAGTGTTTGTAATAGAACCTTGCCACCCTATATATGTTTTAAGGGTGTTTGGCTTTGAGTAAGGAAACTTATGATTCTCTAACCTCAGTAACAGTGTAGTGCTGCTTGGTTTTTACTAATAACATTAGGAGAGAAACTGTACAAATTGTTTGTTTACTGAAATATTAACTTGAAAGTTAAAGAATAGTGAGTACTACTGTTTAATGATTGATCAGTCAGACAGTACACTGTCTATGTAGTGATGGCTCGAATGGTTCATCAAAATGGAATTCTAAATATCTCCTTAATAGGTCTTCAGAACTTTACAATACTGTACAGTGTTTCCTTTTATAATAATATCTATGTAACGACTGAGTTTCAATTTCTGGGAATGTCTGTAAATATCATAACAAAAAGTTTGAATTTATTGTTCTTCTTTCTTCTGCTTGTTTTTTATTCTGGTACCACAGAATTTGTCTTTTTAGGCCAGTTAAATCTTAGAATAAAATGTTATAATAATTAGTATCTAGTACATTTAAAACTATGAGTGTGTTTAAAGAAGTTAGAATAAATTTTCACTTAACCTTTATTGTTCCATGTATACATTACTGTACATTGACTGAAGTCCTTTAGTAGCTAATATAACTTGGTATGTGACCTTAATCAAAAACATTTTATATTCCACGGTCACTTAGGTTCTTTCATTAGTCTATGAATGATTTAACAATAAAATACTGATAGAATGAATGCAAATTAAAAACAGTCATTAATCATGACTGTGTAGTTAATCAAAATGATTAATTGATTATAAAAAATGACTAAAAAAACACATGAAAACATTGTAGGAAGAACATGGCCACATTAACTCATAGGTCTACAAGGTCCCCCAAATCATTATGATAATTTTAAAACATGAACAAGAATAATTCAAAAAATTTCAGTACACTTTTTGATTATAAATAATTTAATGTCAAGAGTTAGTAAAAAAGGACAAATACTTGTATTTAATGGTATAGTTGGTAGTGTGTTATGATGGGGATCAGAGGGGAGAGATCCTCAGTGCTAGGGCCCAAAAATTCTTAATCCAATTCAGAAGAGGAATTAACACTGAAATTCTCATCTTACTATAATTGTACTTAGTCAATCAAGAAAGTTTGACTTCTCAGTGCATATTATACTTTACATAAGAACTTTTAAGAATTAAGGAAAAAATAAGTTTCTTGTTTTTTTACAAAGATTGAGTATCTTACGAAAGTGTATCATCAACCTAAGAACTTGCAAGTTTCTTGCATATTGCTGTATAGTATGCATATGATAGGTCAGTTTTTTTGTGTGTACTTAATAATTTAATATAAACTTTTACTTGCTTGTCTCAGGAACAGTAGTATTATTGGAAAGCTAATTTCTCAAACTATATATTTTTTTTTATAAATGATGATAAAATCGTTTAAATGATTATTTACTAGTCCTATGATTCTTTTATATTTGAGATGTATCTTACAGTGTTTTATATTTCATTTGCAAATGTTTGTCTTAGTTAGAAAGCAAGATAAAGTATAATAGTTTTCGAAAGATTTTTTTTTCTTGGTGTTAAATATTTTGTGTTCTAAATTGCATATTTAAAAGAAAATTAAGTAAGTTAGTAAAAACAACACTACAATATTAGGGTTAACTTTTATTGAGACTTTGAAAGCAAAAAAAACCATAAGACTTGCACTAAATTTCTTGTTTTCTATGTATATTTTTTATTTATTAGTATAAAAGTAACTAAAATGTGAAAATTAGAAACTTACTTGGTTAGATAACAAAAATTAAATGGAAGAAACCGATTGAAAAATACTTGATAAGAGAGAGCATGTTTCACGAGTGCAACATGTAATTTGATCAAGCGTGCTGGTAACTCAATGATGTGTTTCCCTGGTTCCTTGCTGTAATAATTGACTTTGGTGCTAATCTAAGTGGCAATAAAGCAATATATATAAATCACTGGAAAATTTGTACTCTATTATCTTTGGCTGTAAGATAAATGGTGTATTATTGTCTGCAACAATATGCAGTCATTCTAGAAAGAAAAAGGGTAATTTCATACTTTTCTTGTGGTGGTTACAAAGTTTTTCAAATGTACTTATCTTGTATACAGTGTTATAGTAGAGAAATAAAAAAATTATATTCATTTAGGAATCTGCAGAAGTTTTTCAAATGAAATTGAAAGTTATAAAATAAAAAAACATTTTTAATCTTAACATAAAAATCACCTTATACTCGGACCAGTCAGATTCTGAACCAGACTGCCTCCATAAATTTACAGACAAATTTTTAGTGAAATAGATAATTCAAAAAATTATTTTTTTCTATTCAAAAGACTTGCAATATTTACTAAAAGTTATAGTATGTACTTTCATAGTTACATTGTGGTTACAGAGTTGGTCAAAATGATCAAGCCTGTATAGAGAAAGTTAACAATTTTTAACCAACTTAGGACAAGTAATAGAAATATCATTAAAGTGTGGCAACACAAGAAATGACAAAGGCACTTAAAAATTCATGAATGTGTATGTACTTTTTCTTAAAGAGTTGAGTGTTCAAACATTTTAAGTGGGGCTCAAAATTAACACTAGCAAATTTCTAGTAAAACAAATTGCTAGCACATGTTTCAGAAGGAAGATTCATATTTTTTTTATTGTTGAACATCAATACACCTATGATACATAATTTCAGTTATTTGTATTGCAAGTTTCTGAGTATAGAAGATTACTATAATTGTGGCTAATAAGACTATTTCACTTATCAATGTCATGCCAGTTTTGTAATCCCCTTTTAAGCTGTATGGTATACCCAGGCTAAGTTTCAGGAAGTGGGGATAGCTAGACCACAGCTTCAACTCGTTTGATTGGTTACCAAGGTAATTAGCACATGGGCCAGTCAGCCTGACTTACAATATCTGGCCTTTGCAATGCAGTTTTGTTTGCAACACAGATAGAAATACTAATAAGAAAATAGAAATTATGTTAACTGTAGATGTTTTTTTTTACACATTACTCTTACTTTATCCATGATGAGCTCAAACGTTAGGTCTATTGGCTTCTAATGTTTGGCCCGCTTACAGCAATTAAACTGTTAATTTTATTAATACTTTTAAGTATAGGGTAGCTGTCAGTAGTGTGGGTATTAATTTTGTTGATCCAAGCATTTGTGGCTTAGACACACTAGTTTCCACCCAAATCAAGCATATTTTAACATTTGTCTTTAATTTAATAATGAGTATCTCTCCAAGACTGTTTCTTGAAAATAAAACCTTTTTTTTTATTCAGTAAAAAGTGTAAAACATGTATATTACCTTTTTCACTAACACTGCTTATTGTGTTTAAAACCTGAATGAATGTTTGTATTGTAGTTTTGTAGATTTGTTACCATACTTTTGTGGTTCAACATTTGATCAACAGTTTTGCACTATGAAATAATATATATGAATTTCATTTAAAGATAGTTATTATTTTTGGTCCACTGTCTTTATTGCTCAAATGTTGTCCTTTAGCTGTAATGTGAATAGTGAACTTGTAAGTGTTGTGGCAGTTTTTCAATTTTGAGGTTGTTGTTTTGAATAATATTAACTCACAATATAAAATTTAACTCAAGCTGAACTGTGCATCTTGTTTTCTATAATTTAAAATGGTATTAATTGCTCCATTGTTGCTTTGTGATCATACTTTTTAAAAATAAATATACTATAAAAGTTAATATTGTAGCTCATTCTCATTTGTTTCACTACTTTAATCTTTTATTTGTTTAATATCAGTTAAGGGAATCCCAAAATACCATCTTTGTAGTACTTGGTAGTTAAAAAGCTAAGTCAGTATCAGTTGCTGGATTATTCCTTATGGAAAAAAATGTTGCAGAATTTAGTATTTTAATCCTTTTCGTAGTAATAAATTAATATTATGTATATCATTTGTTGAATTTAAATAATAACTTTTACTAAGGGTTTTAATGTGATATGTTACAAAAGTATAGGTTTATTTGTTAAGATCTTTCCAGTTTCAGTGTCATTCAATAACTACCGTCGGCTTCCTCGTGAAATGTTATTTGATTCTGATGAAGATGATGATGAAGAGATTGGTGCACAACACTGGGATATGTTTGAAAAGGCAGAAAAGTCTTCTCCAGCAATTGGTAGAAGTGGATTTACTCGCCATGGTGGCGAGATCACAACCAAGCATGATCCCATTATCTGTAGTCACAGGAATGCCTGTCGCGTGATGGAGGTAAGAATAACTTATGAATAGATATACTTAAAATGTGAACTAAACTACATTTAAATATTTGCCAAGAACCTGAGCATGTCTTTACAGTTAGCTCTTCAAAAGTTTTATTGACTTATAACAAGTTCAAGTTCACTTTTCTGAATCTTGTTTAAAACTGCAGTTTCTAATATTATAACTTGAAATTGGTTGTATTTTCAGGTTGCAAACCCAAATTATTTTGTTAAAAGGAACCTCACCCTGCTATATTTACAGATCTTTTTGATTATTTAGATTGTGTAAGATGTATACAGCAGATTGTATGTCTCAATTATTTTTAGCAGTCATTATCAAAGTCACATAATTTATAATTTTTCTACTGTGAACCCTCTCAACATTGGTAGGTCAAAGTATGCATGTCACAACCTATTGCAGAGTTACATTCAAACTTAATTAAACTACTTTATTATCAGTGTATTTCAATGAACTTGGCATTCAAATTTTAATTTCTTAATTTCAACTAAATTCTCTGTCTTTGCTGTCTGTATCATGCGACATTTATTCTTTCTGAAATTGCCCTTTCTTATTTTATTGTACCACTAAAAGACTGTGGAATTTCTTACATATACTATACATATCCCAAATTAAATTGTCAGTTTGTAATGGCAGAGCGTTTTGATTTACTGAGATATAAGCAGCAAAGTGAAGGCCACATATCATGCCTTTTTTAGAACATCCTGAAATTGTCATAAATTCTCTTGCTGTTGCATTATTTGTAACCAACAGAAAGACAAAATTTCACTTTACTAACAGCAGTTTAGCTTCAAGCTTTTCTAATAACATTTCAACATTTTGACATTTTTTTTTTCTCTGTTTAATCAGGAATGGGGATTACCAAAGCTTAATTAGAAAGCCTGGTAGATTATATTGGTTTAATAAAATTCTATTTTATATTTGTGGCAACATTTCGTATTCTAAATTGAATATTTTAAATAAATAATAATAATAATTTGTGATACAACACTATCATTACTAATGTGTAGGTATAGTGTTTGACATAACTTCTATCATACAAATAAAAATCTTGAAAAAAGAAAAGATTCCAAATGTAAGAAATAAATTTCATGGTTTTTTATGTAATTTTTTTTACTTATTGCTATAAAAATAACTAAAATGTAAAAATTAGAAACTTATTTGGTTAGATAAGGAATTTTTAAAGAAATTAAATAAACAAAGTACTTATGATTAGTGATAGCATGCACTAAGCTTTTATTTAAAGAAATAAAACTAAGTTAAAAATCTATTGGCTTGGGCTGTAGAAATATATTGTGTTTAATTGTCAGTTGGAATGTGCAGTTATTCTAGCAAAAAAAAAGATAATCTACACTTTTTTCTTATTGTTTTTGTTTCATGGTGTTTACAGGGTTAAGCAAATGGAACAAGTCTGTATACAATATTAGTCTAGAGAAAATAACTGATAAGATATAAAGTTCTACTTAAAAGTTTTTAATGTTCAATTAAGAGGCTCCAGAGGTTATGCAAATGAAATTTGAAAACTGTAAAATGAAAAAGTATTTTCATCTTAGGATAGAAATGACTTTGCACTCAGACTAGTCAGAATCTGAGACAGACTGACTAAAGTAAATTCAAAGACAAATCTTTAGTGGAAATGCTTTATTAAAAATACTGATTTTTTGTGTACAGCATACTCGTAATCTCTACTAAAAATCTTAAATTTGATGAAGATACATTAAATACATTTATAGTCATAGTATGTATAGTTTCACAGTTACATGGTGATTACAAGGTTATGTAAAATACATAAGCCTGCCTCCATGTGACAATTTCTAGAAGTATGTATGTGTTTTAGTTGTTTTATATTTTAGTTAATGGATAAAAATACCTTTCTACTTCTAGCAATACATATTAACTATTTTCCTGAAAAGTTTTGGTATAATTTCTTTGTGTTTTTAATTTCTTTGTTTGGTGACAGTTTCCTCCTGGCTTCCTGACAGGAGATGGAGGGAGTTTTGATATGAAATTGTCTAATCATGTATACAACAAATTAAAAGTTCATTCTTATGCTGAACAACGTCGTGCTGCTCGTCTTCATGATAAAAAGGAAAAGTCCACTGCTGTGAGTGTTACTTTAACTTTACATCCATAAAAATAAATAAATAATCTGGTTTTGATTATTGTTTTTAAGAACAAAACAAATTTATGGTGAAATTATTGAAAGTAGAGAAGAAATTACAACTTTTCAACAGTTCTCTTCATGTTTGTGGTGGCAAAATTCTTTTAGTTTAAGGTTGTTTCCAGGCATTTATTTATCCTATGAAATCATTGTAGAGGATATCTGTCAAATTTTCATGTGTATTTTAGGTCTTAAAACTATGCTTCTATCATCCACTTGTTTCAAGATAAGGATCTTTATTGAATAGTATTTTTTGTTATTGTTTTTGAGTCGTATCATAAATTTAAGAAAATCATGATAAACACTGAAGATACAGATTTCTTCATGATAGCAAATAAAAAAAATAACTTTGTGAGAATGTATAATTAATGTGTTTTGGGTTTGTCCTTTTTTTTTTTTATTCACTATGAATCAATTTTGTTGAATTGCAAGTTACATTAAATCCTGCTTTTGTTACACATAATTATAATTATATATATATATACTTTTGTGTATTTTTATGAGAGAGCTTTATTTTCAAAGATTTTATGTTGATGAAGCTTGCTGAACAGAACCTTGCTCTTTTTGCATATTTGTACCACTAATACAGTGGTCATATTATGCAGTAAAGTGACTAACATTAAGATTGAATGGTTTTGCTAGCTATATGTTTGAGATATAATCAATATACATTGCACAAAACAGTTAAAAGATAATTGTGTTGTTATAGATAATAACAAGGCAAAACCATATATTCTTCTTATTTAATTGACTGTTCTTGGCAACCCTAGAAATAACCACAATATGGTCAACAATGAATATTAAACATGAAATGTCCATGAACTTAAACTTTTTTTTCCTAACAATGTAGAGGTGTTTCTTTAGAGATGCATGGATGATAAATACATGAGATGGTACACAAGATGAAAAGTATGATGAATACATAAGTTTGAATTAATTAAACATGATTATCTAATCCTTTATATTTAATGATAAGTGATGGAAATATTATATTGTGAAAAAAAAATGCAGCATTTTATTGTCTACTATGAAGTTACAATGTTCTTGTTTGAAGATAATTTTTTCTGTTACTATAGTGTGAAGTTTTTTTATTACTCTCTACAACCAGATTACAAATTAAAGCAGTGTTAATTAGGTAGAATTATGAGGAGAATTTGAAATATCAGTGTGTGGTGTACACGAGTGTCCAGCTCTGGAATTTTTCTCAAATGTCAGGGGAAATGTATCTTGGAAGAAATGTGGCTGCTTTGTGATTCTTTTTTTTCTACATTTGAATAATTAAGAAAAAATTTGGAGGCTATTTTATGACACCATGAATAACATACTAAAATAGTCTTGAAAATGCTAATAGTAGTCTTGAAAAACTTCATGTTATTTTTTTTTCTCTGAATTCCTTTATCATATTAATCAGTCATTGGGTTTCTTTTATAGTTTAAAGAAGCTTATATATATCTTAGAAATGTTAACCATCCAATACATTCCAAAATTCGCAGTAACGTGACTAAATAGAAAATATTTAGGAGTGAAATAGTTTGTTCTCTTGCTATATATATATATGTTATACCAGGTTTGGCCAGTAAGGAAAAATATAATACAATTTCTCCACCTAGTCAGTATGGTTTGAATTTTTATTTAAACAAGTAATGAGAAATTGTTCATAATTATTATTTGGTCAATTTGACAATGCTTCTTCTTGAAAGGTGGTAACAAAAAGTATGAATTTTCTATTCCTTTTCTTATTTTTCTCCATGTATTGAAGTAACTGAATGATTATTTGATATTTCCATTTTGATTTCGTTTTTAAGTTAATTTTTATGTACAAACTTATTCAGGACTACACGTTTTAGACCTGCTACTGTACATACTTTTAATATTATCCTTAATACTTATTGATTTAAAAAAATCTGAAAATGTATTATAAATAATGTATTTTTTTTAAGGATTTTAATAAAAAAAACTCAATTTTTAAGGTTAAAAATTAGGCTTAATCTTTGGAAATTGCAAGAAAATTTCAAATTAATTATTTCCAGGCTCAATGAATTTTTTTTAAAGGAATATGGGCAATGCATCTCAGGTATTTTATTTATTTACTGATTGAGTGTGTGTGCTTGAAACCAGACCATATTTGTTACTGACTTATGTTGGGATTTATCAAATCTATGGAAGTACAGTTACAGATATATTTGTGAAAAAAATTATTATATGGCTAAAACATTATGCCCCATTTTGTTGTTAATAACTGTTGTCTAATTTGATGGGTTTTTTGGTGGTGCTAGTCTGTTACACTGATCTGCAGTGTTTAATTTCCTTTGGTAGTATTTTATGGATTTACAGAATATGTCAAGTTTGTCAAAGCAGTTTTATCATCTGGTTGATGTGTACATCATAAGAATAGGTTAATAAATATTTTGTGAAACCAAAGATTATAATCCTTATATTATTTCATTGAATGCCATCTTTGAAACATAAAAGTACTATAACAGCACATACAAAACTAGGTTTACACCACATTAAACTGTTTCTAGGATCATCTTTAAGTCAACTGACTGTTAGGCCTGAAGACAGCCTTAAGGCTAAGACTGGAAACTTGCTATTTAAATAACAGTTTTAACTTGGTTTATTATTAACCAATTTGATGTCTGATTATTCAAATAAACTGAAGATTTTTGAAATAGTTGTGTGTACATAGCATATTATCAATGTAAATTTTTATTATTTAGGAACACTCCCTTGATCCCAAAACTCGATTGATCTTGTACAAGCTGGTCAATCAAGAAGTTTTGGAAGGTGTGAATGGTTGTATAAGTGTTGGGAAAGAAGCCAGTGTATTTCATGCTTGGGGAGGAAAGTAAGTACTTTCTTTTCTTTCTGTATAATATCTTACAGCTTTTTTGTTTGTGCAAAATGGTTTTTAAAATTCAATACATAAATTTTCTTACCTATAGTTATATTTTATTCAAAGTCCTTCTTAAAATATACTTCAAACAAATAATTACTAGTAGTTGAGTATTTATTCTAAATCATTATATTTTTATTATTTAACTGTTAATAATTAAACACTACCTGCTAATGTGAATAGTGACAGAGTACTTTGATACTTTACAAAAATAACAAAACATTTACTTTGTTAATGTTTACGTTAGTAAAATACCAAGTATAGTAACGGTTTACCATTTTACAAAATAATCAATTTTCAGTTCTTCGCTTCAACTTTATAATATTAAGATGTTAATGACTTGTGATTTTGTATTTATACTAAACTTAATCATAAATGACATTAACTTTTAAAGACAAATAAATTTGTTTTTTCTATTTGACTTTGGTATCTGTGAGAACACAAATATAACTAACTGTTCTTGGTTCATGCATGATTTGTATCTGAGTATTATTCCTGTTCTCAGCTATAATCTTAGTCTTTCTATCAGAAGATACAGACTTCCTTAGAAGTTCACCAGTTTATTTAAGTTTGCTTGTTTTTTCACTTGGCCTCTAATCTGAGGTGCTGTGAGCCCAAAGTTTTGAGATTATATGCTGTATGTATTAGCATGCCTGTCAATTTATAAGTAAAGGCATTCTGTTTCTTAAGAGTGCAAAAAAGTGCTCATTTTGAAGGACCATTCAGTCACTGCAGAAACTGCAGGCAGGCTAAGGATACTAACATGTAGCTTCACAGCTTGAAATTAACATTGGTCCGTTTGCCATTGGTCATGAAAAACCTCAGCAGACTACTCAAAAGGTTTTCCTGGGTGATCCATGTGGCCACTAAAAAATTGCCCATGAAAATCTAAATTTAAGTTAATATTTCCCCTACAAGATAAATAATGTATATGTCAAGACACAAGTACAAGAATAACAAAGTTATCCGGAGAATTATTTGCAATGTTATTCTCAAATATCGAGCAATTTCTCACCGGTATCCAAAGGGTTGGATGCATCTGCACAATGGCATGCATGAACTCCAACTGGGTACAGTGTATCTGGCAGCGAGAGCCTTTTTGGCAGTTTGGAACAGCTTGAAGCTGCTTGGAAACTAACATCTTCACACAGCAGAAAAAACTTACAGCAACTTGCCAATTACTTTCTAGTACATTAGGGAAGTGGTAGCTTAATGTGATTTGTTGTGCTTTGTTTTTTAAGACAAATTACAAGTTTCCAGAGTGGAAGTTCTGAACTCACCAGGTGTGAGATGCGACAGTGTTTTAAGTTCAAAGAGTGAACACTGGAAAAAAAAAAAAGAACTATGTGCACTCACTGTCTTGGATTATTTGTCTACAATAGTCAACAACCAATCATATGACATTTTATCCTATTTATTTGGTGGAATGGAGCCACGAAACTCATTTTACACCATTGTATGTAACATACTAGACATCACCGTTTTACAGTATGATTAACTTCTCGCTCTATTTAACAAGGTTTTATTTTCTTTTTTTTAAGTTATGTTTTGATGTTTTCTCTCTCATTGAATCTTTGTTAGTACTACAAGTGAGAAAGGTCTATAGGTCATAGTACGATTCATGCATTTATGGGTTGCTTCATTACAAAATAAAGAAAAAATCCATTGGTCACCTAAATTGCTGCCTGGCCAACAAAAAAGCCAAATCTAAATGATCTGGCTGGCTACCAGAAAAAAGTTAAGTCCTGACCTTACTCATTGTAGGTGACTTACAAATACCTTTCCAACATGTCAGACCGGATTGTCTCATTGAGTCATTGATCCAGCTTTCCAGACACTTCGACACAAATATTTTGACTCACAAATGTTTTTTTGTTTCAAGAAAGGCAATGCCTCTTCCTTTTCAGTATCAAATATGGTTTCAGCAACTTTCCATAAATAGGATGCTCCACTGACATTTTTTGAAGGAGAGACTTTTTTTTCCATCAGTGCAGAATCCATAATTTTCATGATGATGTGAAGTGGCTGAAGTTCAAGCTCCTGACATTTCTTGAGGGTGTCAAGGATTTGCTTCTCTTCAGAGTTGTTTATTAAGTAAGTATGTAACTTGGATGTTAAGTGCATCTCAAGGTCATTGAAAGCATGTGGAACAAGATCCATTCTTGGGGTATCTGTTTCAAGTATAGTAATCCATTTAAGTAGAGATTTCAGAAGGTTGGCAAAATTCTTAGCTCTCACCAATAACACATCTTTATGCACGATTCAGACCTCAATCACTTTGTTCAGAATAGATGAGTTTTTTTCAAAACTTGCTGGAGACTGAAGGGGAAACTTTTTCACACAGATTTGTAAGGCAAGGAACATGTTTTCACTAACAATTTAAAAGGGATAGGCTCAGAATATAGGACACTTGTATATGCTTTATAATATTTATGCATAGCATTTTGATTCTGGAGTATGTCTTCAACTTCACAATATTATCTGTAAGAAGATTCAAAATGAATTCTGTGGGATGATCAGAGTATTTCCAGTGAAGTTATTCCCAGCTTTCTTTATGTTAACATTGTTGTGTGTTAAAACAACAAGGGAGCTTGCAATATTATTTTCATCCTATCTTATGTTAATGTATCAGCCATTTATTTGCCCATGTAATTGTCTGTGATTGTGTTGATAGTTTTGTAGAAAACTTGATGTCTCCTGTTTTGTTTCTAGCTGTGTTATTGCTTCCTAAAACAGTTATTTTACTTACCCATTTTTCCTTGGTACTAAATGGCTAAAGCTTATAACCAAAATATAAAAAAATTAATACAATGAAAACAAAAGAGCATAAGTGAATTTTTAATTTTTGTAGATTTATCATGATATTTCTCATCTAAATGTGTTTTTTATTTGTCTTCTTTTCATGGACAGTAGTCAGTGATAGTCATAAGACCCTATATTACTTGTTGATTACCTTTTAAGTATGCATAGGAGCAATTTGAATGTACTAAAATGTACTAAAAAGTAAACATCCATTGAGTTGATGTTAGATGGAGCCACTGATACTACTAAACCAGAGATGAGAGTACAGAGAAGTTTTCTATACGTCTCTCTCACAGTCGTGTTTGTATTCAAGAAGTAGTTAGAGGTCTTATACCAAATGGAAAAAGTGTGAAGTAATACATGTGTGTTTTAAGATAAGTATTCAAAAAAAGTGAAGATTACAAGTTATGTTAACATTGCAATTTTAAGACATTTCATAACTTCAGTATTTCAGGAATGGGAGGAAAGCTGAAGGCAAACCCAGATATTTTTAAATGTTTGATACATTACCAAATTGTCTGAAATAGGAAACTCAAGTTTCAGCAATTGGTCTGTTTCAAGAAAAGTTACTATTTTCATGTTCAAAAATTTGCTTTTTTTTTGTTGTGTTTTTTTGTTCTTACAACAAGAAAAAGAAATAGTTTTGTTTTCAACTCATTTCTATATTGGAATTAATATTATCCATATTTAAAAAAATAAACTTGCATTCAAATGTTCTCAAACTATATAAATTTATTAAATACTGCATAGTGTTATTTTCATAAATCTGTGCTTTTAAAAGTTTTTGCTAGAGATTAGCTCTGGTATTTTCAGCCCGGCATGGCCAGGTGGTTAGGGTGCTCGACTCATAATCTGCGGGTTCGAATCTCCATCACACCAAACATGCTCACCCTTTTAGCCGTGGGGGCTTTATATAGTGATGGTCATTCCCACTATTCGTTGGTAAAAGAGTAGCCAAAGAGTTGGCAGTGGGTGGTGATGACTAGCTGCTTTCCCTCTAGTCTTGCACTGCTAAATTAGGGACGGCTAGCGCAGATAGCCCTCGTGTAGTATTGTGCAAAATTCAAAGAAACTAACCAAACCAAACTAGTATTTTTCTATCAGCTAAACTGCTAATCACTGTGAAATATTCATTACTTTTCATTGATGACAACATTTTTGCTGATGTTAAATGAAATAGTTCTCTACGGAAAACGTACACTGCAAAATTATCAGTTATGGTAGTGAGTTTTCCTATTATTTGTTCACTGTGTTATGATGAGTTTAAGATAACGTCATCCGAAAAAGGTTAAATTTTCAAAGAATGTGTTGTTTGTGTAGAGTGATAATGTTGGTACTAGTAAAATATTTGTTACTCATTTGTCTATAGTTTTTAATCATAGAGTTTTATTGAGAAGTTATTCAGGAATTAACATTTTGTGACAACAGACACTTACAAAAGTATGCATAGGTACTTCAGTTGTGATGATAATTGATAAATAGTTACTTACAATGACGTACACACACGGTTGTCTTGATCTGACTTCTACAGTATTAACCTACAATGATAATCTACAAATAAAAATTTTAAAAACACACAGCTTAGTCTGGTTAATTTCAATAGTTAAGACGTATAAAAAAATATCTATAAAGGTACACACTGTTGATATCATAAATTTCTATAATGATGGCTTGTCATTATTCATTTATAAAGGAATATGTGCCATTGTTAACTCCAGGCAACATAACCATTTAATTTGTACAGTGTAATTGATACTTGTTAAAATATTCATATTGAAGTTTTCTTTATGAAATGTTTTTGGTTTTGATTCTAATTAACTTCAGTACAGTTTTAATATTCATGTAAAAATGATGTGTAAAGAATTTAGAATATTAACATTAACTTCTTTCTTCTTTTTAAGACCTGCTGATCAGATTGTGCCTGGTGAATGTGCTATTAAAGCTTTCAAGACAACACTTAGTGAGTTTAAAAACAGAGATAAATACATCAGAGATGATTACAGATTTCGTGAACGCTTTAACAAGCAAAATCCTCGCAAAGTAATTCATATGTGGGCTGAGAAAGAAATGCATAATCTGACTAGGTAAGCTTATTATGTATTTTTTTCTTGGTAATTAGATAATATTTATGGTTTTATTTTATTTATACACATTTATGTGAACTACACAAACAGTTTACTTCATTCTAAAATACCCAAGGAATTAATTATAATTTTTATTGAATTTCTTAATGACTGAATCATATTACACTTTTTGTCTATCACATATATGAATTTACAAAAAATTGTTTGGTAACTTTGTCCGTTTTAAAAATTATTCTTTTTAAATTAAGATAATATGTAATATTGAGGATTAATTTTTTGTATTATGAATATGAAGTTTGGATTCTAGAAAAAGTTTTCTAATGAAACTGTTACTTTAACAGAATTCGAAAAGCTGGCTTACCTTGCCCAGAAGTAGTGGCTTTAAAGAAGCATGTCTTGGTCATGACATTTATTGGTAGTGACCAGAAACCTGCCCCAAAGCTGAAAGAAGCAAAACTGTCTCTGGAACAGTTTAACCAAGCATATTCCCAGACAGTTGAGGTGAGCAGGTTTTTCTTCTCAAAAAGGAATGAAACAAACTTTAAAACTCTATCTAGAGTTTATGAAAAATTTCGTATTTTTATATAATAATGCTTAGATTTGAGAGTGAGCTAAAGATCAGTATCGTTTCTTTCAACTCTGTCACCACTATTTCTTAGGGCTACTAATGATCTTAAAAAGCTAATATTGAGTGATCATATCTTATTCCTACAGGTCTAGTTATGGCTTAGTGGCTAGTATGCTTGGTTCATGGCTCACAGCCCATTGCCAAGAAATGCACACTGCACTTTATGGCAGTGGGTGCTCTATAAAATTGACAATAAAATTCTAGTATTTGAGTAAAGTAGTCCAAAAGTTGCTAATGGGTGCTGTTGAATAGCTACTTCCAATCTAGCTGTCAGTTCAAAATCAGGAACATCTTTGTGTGCAGATGGTCCGTTGTGCAGGTTTGTGTAACAATTCTAACATAAACAAGCTTATTCTTACTTTAAAATATACCCCAAAAAATAAAATACTACAGTTGATAGTAGTTAACTGTGGGTACAGTATCAACTTATCGGTATTACACTACCTTCGATGTTATTTATGCAGGTTGTGAAGCGATTGTATAAAGATTGTCACCTGGTTCATGCTGATCTAAGTGAGTATAACCTTTTGTGGCACAACAGCCAAGTGTGGGTAATTGATGTCAGTCAGGCTGTTGAGCCCAACCATCCTCGAGCCTTGGAATTTTTGCTGCGTGACTGTACCAACATTTCAACGGTGAGTTTGTTGTTAGAAGTGTGTGTAAACTGGGCATAGCTTTAATCTCCATCTTCATCCTGAAGTTCTCTTTGTACACATGAAACAGTTTATTTAATAGTACATAAAATACTCTAAAGAAACATTTAATACAGGAATTGTTGCAGTAGAATTAGATTGATCTTTTTTTTTTGTGAGAAGAATTTATTCCATTTATAAATAAATCTGATGAAATAGAAAATACAGTCATTGAAAGATCTAGTAGTTGAAAGATAAATTTGTACTTACTCTACTACATCAGTATTTTACCAATGTATGATAATATTCACCATTTGCATTCTATTTATTAAATAAATTTTAAGTTTTTAAAACAACTTAATATTAATGGAATTAATTGCAATATTGACGGTTTTTCTTTGTGGCTCACATGTTATTAGGGATCCTGTAGTAATTTTAGGGTTAATGTCAGTGAATATATACATATATATATGTGTGTGTGTGTATGTATATACATACACGTTATGTTTAATAAACCAAACTCCATACCACTAGTTTTTACAGATGGGCTAACATTTTTGTGTAGCATAAAACCTTTCTGATAAAATTGAAGTTTTGGTATTACAGATCAATTAATAAACTGCACATAATTTACACTTCTCAAAAGTTACATTCTACACCACATATCTGTATCTATATTCATATGAATGTTACTTGTTGATCAACATTTGTTGAATCATTATTTTGCTTTGGTTTAGTATTGGATTTTTAGTAATTGTTTCAAGATATAAGTTTGCTTCTACTCCATGTTTACATTGTTAGTTTTTTTTGTACAACACTATACCATACAAGAAGGTAGAAAATTTGTGAGATTGAGTGGGTGACCTCAGAAAGCAGTTACTTAAGTTCAGCGAAATAAATTATAAGAAAATAGATATAGAATTGAATCTTTGACCTCCTTAGTATGAAGTGTGTGCTGTGCCATATGAACCAAAGCTAAAAGGTTTGTTCACATGTGTAACATTATTAAACGGAATACTGTAAGTATGGGAAGGGTGTATGTTTTAACTAGATAAATTCTTTAAGTAATGCTGCTGTTGTATTATGTAATTGGACATGAATGAAACAAACCAATTAATCAGAATATGTAGTTGTGTTTAGATTTAAAGTAAATAAGTGTAAAAACATGGAATGATTAAAAACGAAACATATCTATACACAACATTTATTTGCATAAACACCTTGTCTTTTGGTATAATCGCCATCTTTGACTAAAGTTTTGAGATTTTTTTTCTTTAACACTTGATAAAGCAAAATTATAAAATAGTGAATTCTTAACACTATGGTATCAAGCAGTGTAAAAATTAGCTTTCTTTGGTTGTTGCTATTTTGCTTATTTTTATTTCCATAATTTATTTCAATACAGCTAAAGCTCAAGGTTTAAAATTAGTTCCATCACTTTCACAAATTTAATCATCACTAATTCTAATATTGAAATATTTATGGAAATAAATCTTGTAACTTAAATAGTGCTTATGTATTTTCAATACATACATTTATGATATTTTTGTTTATAAATTCATTAAATATATCTGCTTTTGTTTTTCTTGTCTCATGTGTATTAAGTACTTATTTTATTTCTGTAATATATTTAATATTTAATTACTTTTTATTCATAATTAAATTACAATTTGGTGAAGTTGTTCATATGACGGTTAAAATGTTAAAAATCATACTTGAAAGTAAGTGAAAATATTTGATTTTTTTTTTTTAATATAAAATGTATTAATCTGTCAAAGTAATCATAATTAATAACAATGCTTACTTAATTCTGAAGTTCTTCAAGAAACAAGGAGTGGGTGATGTAATGGGACCAAAGGAACTGTTTACTCTTGTTTCTGGCTTGCAACTACCAGGAGAAGGAGCCGAACTACTGTCTGAGGTATGTAAAAACATAAAGCTACTGATATGTTGTTTCTGATGCATAAACATACAGAGTTCTTGCCACAGGTAAAAATACAGCCTATATAGTATGGATGTCTGGAGTACCTCAGTTATGAAAAAAATACATTACTGTTGACTGTAGTACATAAACAAAGTGTTACGTGAGTGACATTAAAGTATAAAACTTTTTTTGGATATACATTAAAATACATGACTGTTGTCTGAGGTACCAAAACGTGGAACTTCTTGTCTGTGGTAAATAAGGATAAAGAATGGTGTGGAGTGCATGATTAAATTGGAATGTTGTATAAGGTTTTGTAAAGGACAGAACTTGTGTTTATAATGACTAAAGATATATATATAATATAAGTATGAAAGGTGTGTATTAAAACTTGAATTCACTACAGATTTGATATATTTTTAAAAATTATGGCAGATTTATAAAGATCTCTATAAAAAGCTATGGCATAATTTATTAATTTGAGAGAACTAACTTACTTGTATTTTATTTGTTTGTCAAATTTTAGACAGTTAAATTTTAATTTTTCAGTAATTTCTCTTTCTAGATTCAAAACTATGAACGAGATGAAGAGATTTTGGCCCATGGCTGCAGTGATAAATCAGATTACTTTGAAATTTTATTTTCAAAGGTTCAAACTCAAAATACATAATAGCTTACTAATCTATGATATTGTTTTACTTTTACTTGAAAATGTAATTGTTTAAAACCATTAATCAAAATCAGTGTCTATAAGAGCAAACATACATGGTTTGGGTTGATTTTCACACGTGAAGTCGGTTATAAAACTTTAGTTTAATAAAGCAACTTTTTCGATATTTGATTTTAAAAAAACCATGATCCACTATAGAAATTTTGTTTAGGAAATTTTACTTTGCTTTCTTTCCCGCAGAATTTTGGGCTGCAAACACATCTTGTACTTTATGGGATTGAAAAAAGAAATAAAATTTAAAAATCTTATTTTGTGGAACCTAAATTATTTTTTCATTTCACTTTTTTGTTTTTAGACTGATATGTTTAATTAGTTTAATATTTACAAAATGTATGGAAAATTTTGTAATGTGAAATAAGGTAATAAGTATTTATCCTTTATTTAAAACAATAAAGAACTTGTAACTACAAATTTAAGATTGGTATATTTGAAAGGAAATGTTTTAGGTTTTTGTATTGGGAATTGAAAAATTCCATCTATCATATGTCATAAAGAATCTATACTGAAAAAGTTAATTTATCATGCATGATTATTAAAGTAAAAAAAAAAAATTATTATACAATATGTTAGTTACAGTGTTTTTCATCAAATAAAGGTTTCAAAAAGTAATTAAAACCAAACAGTTTGTAATATGCTTTGTTCTGATAACTGTTGCAGTAATAATAACAAAAAATTAATGGCTTTGTAATTATTTTTTTTTACTATGGTCTCTTTTAATATTGTGAAACAAGAAAGGAACATAACACTTTTCACTTCCTTCCTTCACTGAAGCATCATGATTCCCGCCAAAACTAAAGTTTATTACATCAGAATTGAATAGGTAGTTAAGGACTAAAAGTTATACATTAAACACTTTATTTCTCTTTCATGTAGTTCCAACTAAATCTAAGACAAATGCATGTAGTATAGTATCCCATGGGTAATAACACAGTTGAAAGGCTTAACATAAAACATACTTCCCAGAAAACACAGCTATAGAAAATTAAGAGGGAAAGAAATTCTGTGACAGATGACCTCGAACCTGGAAGGTCGATTGGCTTTTTTATATTGAAAAGGATATAAATTTTTTTAAACTGGAAACAAATATTTAAAAAAATGCTTTAGGAATAACTGCTGACAGAAAGCCAACACATGTTGACTTAGAGAACTGCTGGCAATGTGATGAAATATTGACTGATTGAGACAATTTTTGGTGTTCTGTCTGACTTGAAAAAATTCAAACTCATGGCTTACAAATTAGTTTGTTGAAATATTGAATAAAAATGTAGCTAAGAGCCTGGAATGGCTGGTGGTAATCTGTTTAGCAGAATTATTAACTGAGAGAGCTGCTGGTGATTTGGCTGTAGAATGAATTAACAATTTGCTGAAAACTTGGCTAATTTACTGAGACAGCTGCTGGTAACCTGTTTGACAGAATGATTTGCTGAGACAACTGCTTGTATTTTGGCTGTAAACTGATTGAATGAGATAGCTACCAGCAACCTTGACTGGTAGAATGATTGATAGTGAGAGGTGTTAATAACATGGGTAAACAATGACGGAGATAGTTAGTGACAGACTGAAGAATGACGGAGATAGTTAGTGACAGACTGACGAACTAATCTTCAGAATGAGAATTATTATAACCTGATTAACAAACTATTTTACAGACAGATGATTGAGCTCATAGGACACTATTAAGAGGTACCTATATTTTTTTAAGAAATTCTCATGTTTGTAGCTTTTGCATTGGACCTATAACTTTTTTTTTCTTCAAAATATGGTTAGATTTACTAGGTGTTTTGCTCAATTTTTCTGCAGTTTAGAAGTAAGTATTTTGTGCAGGTTTATTTACTAAAGGTTTATTTACTCCAGAAAGTAAGAGAATAGAATGTTTTGTGGAAGAGACACGTTTCTGCCATACTCTTTTAAACAAAGCAAGTTGTCATGTATATGTTGTTTGTTAGATCAGTATACATTTAAAATCTCTTATTTACTTCAATACATCCATTCCATCGGGTGCAGCTGTAGAGCGCTTTTTCTCATCGGGGAAAATCATTTGAAATCAAAAAGAGCTGGATTGACGGATACTTTCGAGAAGTTGATGCTACTGAAATTAAAACATTAATAAATTGAACAAATAATAAGAGACGTAATATCTTCTAATATTATAGATTTATTATCTCATATTAGTATATTAGCTCATTTATTATTATTACTGTCATCATATTCATTTCTTTTTTGATGTGTTTTTCAAGTACTATTATTGAATGTTTGTTGTTTTGAATTTCGCGCAAAGCTACATAAGGGCTATCTGCGCTAGCCGTCTCTAATTTAGTAGTGAAAGACTAGAGGGAAGACAGCTAGTCATCACCGCCAACCCTTGGGCTACTCTTTTATTAACGAATAGTTGGATTGATCATAACATTATAACGCCCCTACGGCTGAAAGGGCGAGCATGTTTTGTGGGACGGGAATTCGAACTAGCGACCCTCAGTTTGCGAGTCAAGCGCCCTAATCACCTGGCCAACCCGGGCAAGGTGTGGTGCCCAGTGAGATGGCGGCAATCAAACGCTGCATATTCCCTCTTTAGGCTTTCTGGGTCAATCCAACGCACAGTCACACCCAGATAGAATCTGTAAAAGTAAACAATACAAAGCTAAACTAGTAAATGCGAAACGGCATACATTCACAACAGATACTATGCTGAAACTTATTGCAAGTCTCATTCTATTATTAGATACTTGAAATTTCTAAAACAACAATATTTTTTGTTATCCGTAAAATGAAAAATCTTATTTTATTACAACTTACTTGTTGCGGCAGCTTCAACAGTCTGGTGTGGACGAGAGGCACTCTACCATGCCAAGCTTCTCTTTCAGTTTATCGTTTTTTCGGGGCGAAGTTTTCATTAATTGAGCATGTTAAGGCTTTGCTACTGAAAACGATTTTATATTTGGTTGTACTGTCTGAATAAGAATTTTCAAAGCTTGCAATTCAACAAACTTGAAAGGAATCATTTCCTCTGTGACTAAATTAGTTACGAGTGCACTTATTTTACAATGGCTAACCCTCCCGACACTAGCAGCAATGAAGGCTGAAGAGTTGGTTGTTACACTTCATTTTCCCAATTTTTCACTTACAAGAAGTATGAGAACCTGTCTTTACTGCTTTATCTTACCGTTTGCTTGCCCTATTTACCTCCGTTCAACTCCTGATGCACAATTCAAAATTATTATGTGATTTCTTATTGGCACTGTATTTTTTGGCAAACGCAACATACACTACAATAAAACACTTTTGGATTGGTATCCACTTGCACTTTTAACAAATTCAAAGTTTTTTATGTAAGGCCAAGGATTGCTGCTTCCACAGTTAAGACTCAGTGTAAAAAGCTTCTTTAATAGAAATATCGTCTTTTTTACCGGATTCCGTTTTATTACATTAGTTAATGCCCATAGCAACGACACCACGCATCAGATGTTGCTTTGATGTTATGATGAACGTAAAAAAAAGGAGAAATGATGTCTGTTCAATCCTTACACAATAAGTTCACGACAGCAACTTCATCACGTAACACGTTTGATTCTTTTCGTAAGCAAAATGCGGCGTAAATATAATTATATACTATATAAAATACAATGTACAAAATTAAATAATACTAAATAACGATTTATAACAATGTATATGTCTGGGATTTTCCTAACTAATTATCCGACATGAAATATAAATTAGCTTGTTGATACGAATATCTTGTATTATCAATTGAAACGTATTGTTGCGTCAGCGAGTCACATGACTACAGTGACGCCACGTTT